TTTTTTGTTGTTTTTGTTTTTGTTTTTTTTGTTGTTTGGTTTTGTTTTTTGGCCAGGGCTGGGTTTGAACCCACCACCTCCAGCATATGGAGCCGGCGCCCTACCCTTTTGAGCCACAGATGCTGCCCCCATTAATTCTTATTTTTAGTTACTTGGGTTTCTACCATGTAACATGATAAAAAACCACAAAAAGAATTTTCTCTGGCATTTAAATAATATGTCTTATTTGGCTGTGAAAAGAAAACTATAGTTTCCTAAGGAGATGATTGTAGTCATTTTATAACTGGGTTTTGTTTTTGTTTTTTTTTTTTACTTAATGCAGATGAAGCTGCTCTCAGCCTTCTGAAAGAATTGGGCCCATCAGGAATTGAAACAGAGCTTCGAAGCTTATCTCCTGACTGGGGTGGATCTATAGAAGTCATGCAGAGCTTCCTGAAAATGATCCAGGTGCTGCTGGACAGCAAGCGTGATTTCGAGTTAGCCCAGGCGTACCTCGCGTTGTTTCTAAAGGTAAGTCTAAGGGAGGAGAACACTTTGCAGCAGTGTTGTCCAGTCGTACTTTCCTCCAAAGACGGGAAAGTTCTGTATCCCCACTGTTCAATGTAGAAGCCACTTGCCATCTCTGGTTCTTGAATACTTGAAATGCAGTTTACATGATTGAGAAACTGAATTTTTAAATTTATAGAATTTAAGCCTGTTTAAATTTAAATAGCCGGCTCGGTGCCTGTGGCTCAAGTGGCTAAGGCGCCAGCCACATACACCTGGGGTGGCGGGTTCGAATCCAGCCCGGGCCCACCAAACAACAATGACTGCTGCAACCAAAAAAATAGCTGGGCGTTGTGGTGGGCGCCTATGGTCCCAGCTATTTGGGAGGCTGAGGCAGGAGACTCACTTGAGCCCAGGAGTTGGCGGTTGTTGTGAGCTGTGAAGCCACGGCACTCTACCCAGGGGGATAGCTTGAGGCTCTGTCTCAATAAATAAATAAATAAATAAATTTAAATAGCCGCATGTGGCTAGTAACTACCACATTGAACAACTGGACAACACCTTGTTGGTTTTTATTTTATTTTTACTCAATTGCACAACAATTTTGACTCTACCCCTTGGTTTTTTTAAGTTGTTAGATTTTGGAAGTTTTTCTGTAATCATGAAGGGAAAAAAAGTCAGGTTTTATGTTTGTCTCTTCTACTGTTGAAATCAAAATATTTACCTCTATGAAGAGGGAAGTTGTTTTAAGGGATCTGGCAACAACAGAGTTGCTTCTATGATCAGTATAATAGGAAACTCGTGTTTTGAGGGTCTGCGTTAGTGGTATAATGTGTTGAGGAGGGTAGTCAGTGATTTTTCAATCAGTGTGCCCTGAAAGGATCTTAGGTGTGCTATGAAAATTTCCAGTGAAATTATTTGTGAAAGACATTCAGGGACCAAGTGTGGTGGTTTGCGCCTGTAAACCTAGCACTCTAGGAGGGTGAAGAGGGGGGATTACTTGAGCTCACTGAGTACGAGACCACCCTGAGCAAGAGCATGACCCCATCTCTAAAAATAGCTGGGCGTTGTGGTGGGTGCCTCTAGTCCCAGGTACTGGGGAGGCTGAGGCAAGAGAGTCACTCGAGCCCAAGAGTTTGAGGTTGTTGTGAGCTCTGATGATGTTATGGCACTCTACCCAGAGTGAAAAAAAAAGAAGTTCAAAGCATAGTAAGTATATTATTTTTTTTTTTTTTTGCTCTTTCTTTTGATGAACTTAAGTGTGCCACAGAACTTTAGCTATATGTTTGAGTATGCCATGATGTTAAAAAAGGTTGAAAAGCACCCAGGATGCTCATTTTCTTCTTCTTCTTCTTTTTTTTTTTTTTTTTTTTTTTTTGCAGTTTTTGGCTGGGGCTGGGTTTGAACCTGCCACCTCCAGCATATGGGGCAGGTGCCCTACTCCTTTGAGCCACAGGTGCCGCTCCAGAGATGCTCATTTTCATTGATAGCAGATATGATTCTTTATCCCATTCACATCTAAAATGAGCTTTCACTTGATCTAATTATTAAAAATTATTTAAAAGTGAAGTGTTTAGGCTCGAGTGGCTAAGGCACCACTGTGGCTAAGTGGCTAAGGCTACAGCCATATACACCTAAGGTGGCAGGTTCGAATCTAGCCTGGGCCCGCCAAAACAACAATGATGGCTGCAAACAGATAGCTTGAGGCTCTGTCTCAAAAAAAAGTGAAGTGTTTAGATGATAGCATGTAAAAGTAGAAATAGCACAAACTGTATCTTTTCTCAAATTTACCAGGTTTGGTTCCTGAATATGAATTTACTTAACTTTTTTAGAAAGCATAGGACACCATGTGTCATTCATTAGCATTGGGTTAGGTTGAAAAGGGAAACTCACAGAAGCATAGAAATAGGGATTTAATATTTGATTGAGGACCTTGTTTCAAGATCTGTATCAGGACTGTCCTTAGGAAGGTAGAGTGATAACTGCTTTGCTTCTAATAAAGGAATGATAATACCGAAACAGGGCTTATGATAAATTTGTCGGGTAGAGGAAAGGGAAACGGGAGATGATAATAAATCAGCACTTAAGAAGAAAACTCAGTATCTTCTTTTATACTAAGCAGAAAAATTGAATCCAGATTAGATAAAATTTTAATTTTCTGAAATATTTAACCATCATATTTTTCTTTTCAGTTACATCTTAAAATGCTTCCTTCAGAGCCAGTACTCCTAGAAGAAATGACGAAGTTGTTATCACAGGTAGAAGACAACTGGATCCATTTACAATCACTCTTTAATCAAAGCATGTGTGTTTTAAATTATATCAAAAGTGCTTTGTTATAAAAATAAATTTCTGAATAAATCAAAGACATATTAAATGGATTCAGTTAACTCATTTCTTATTTTCCAAATTTCAGTATGAAAAGAAAATATGTGCTATTGATTATGCTATTGACTAGTCAGTAATTCTCCACTTTAAATGTTAAATACTTTCTTGAAATAAAATTACACCTGCCTTTTGTTTTTAAGATCTAAAGAATCTATTCAAATGATTTATTTTCTGATTCTGTTCACATTAGCAATTTTTATGACTTTTAATTATTACCTGCTCCTGTTTTGTGAGTTATCTGTTAAATATAAGAGATACTACCTATTTCCCATGAAATACTTCTGATTTAAATTGAAGATGTCAGATAAAACTGAAATATGATGTAATTCTAAAAGTGCTCTCACGTTATGATAAAAAGAGAATGATTCCTTCCTGAAGGCCTTTGATGAAAGCATGGATCTTCATTCTGACAGCTAGGAGGTCTACTAGACACCTCTGGTACAGCCCCCTTGTGTTGCAGGAGAGGAGTCAAGTTAAGGTCTGCTGGGAGCTCGGTGGTCAAGCCAGATCTTTAAAGATCTTTAAAGGTTGGCCTGGCCCTTTCTCATTGTAACCTTCCTGAAGGAAGTTGTTACAGGGTCAGAAATGTGGTAGTCACTTGCCCAAGGCAAATTACTATATGAGAAGGTTAAACTGATAACTAGAATAGGTAAGGGAAATTCCCTCTTCCCTTGGAAGTTGTCCTTCAAAGGTTTTCCTTCCTCATTGATGACATTTTTTATTTAGGAAGAAACTATTGACTATACTTTTCCTTCACAACCAAGTAGCCCAGCAGTTTTTTTTCATCATCAGTGTTTTCTTTCTTACAGTTGAAAGCTTTAACAGTATATGAATTAAAAATAAGCAATTCTTAAAGGCAGAATGCTCTAAAAACTATTCTTAGTGTGTACATTAAAAAGTGTCATTCATAAAACACACTTTGTTGGATTTGAACATCAGTAACATTATTTTTCAATGTTAGGTTAAGCAGGTTTGGCCACTGGTAACTTTAACATGTTAAGGTGTTTTCATTTAATGCCATAAAGTGAAATTAGTATACTACTAAGGAAATAAACCTATCTGGTTTTATACTCAGTTTTGTTTTTCTTTTAGAAATGTGGATTGACTTATTAAATAATGACTTAAGTTCTAATTTTAAAAACTATTTCCCTTTGTCCCAAATATTATAAAGATACGGCAGAATGCAATAGACAATCCAGGAGCTAGTAAACACTAGTTATTTTAGTTAAATAACTAAAACCAAAGAGACCTGTGAACTGAAATTGTATTGCTTATGCAAATCATGAACTAAGTTCTCTTCCCCTTTTTAAAAGAGCATATGGGTTGAGTGTATTGTGTTTACTGGTGATATCTTTACATAGTGTTACAGCATCATTTTGGCAGATAATCTTCCAGACCTTTACCTGTGCATTTGCCATCAAAGCAGGAAGAAAGAAATACAAATTAAATTTTGTTTGTATCTGTTTCCTTTAAAATATTATCAGTCTATGCACATTGCTTTATCTTTAAATTTTAAACCACACATGTAATATGTGACCACATTTTACTTGTAAAAACATCAGTGATTTTTGACAACCATCTTCAAAGTGCCATCCCTAGAAGGAATGGTTAGCTGTGCTTCTAGATCTTTTCCCTGAGTATTTATACATGTTATTTATAGCCACAGGAGATAAAACGTATAGGTTTGTTTTTACATATATACATAGGTATCATTCTACTACTTGCTTCTTTTACTCAGGGTTTTTTATTTTGGTACATTCATACTTAGAAATTGATACATTCATACTTAGAAATCTCTTTTCTTTTGCACAATTGTCATTATAATGACCACTTAAAGGAGTTGTCTTCCCTTTTTTCTTTCACTTGAAAAACAGTGCTGAAAGGAACATACATCATTCTGTATGAGTCCTTAACGTGCGTTTTTCTGTAGCATATGTTTAAGACTTGGATTTTGGGCCAGAGTATTAGCATTTTTAATTTAAAGAGATACTTCCAGTTGGCTTCCAAAATGGTTCTACGTGTATCAGTTTATAATTTCCCTCAGCAACAAATGAGTATCTGCTTCCCCATATCATTAAGGACACCTTATGTTAGATTTTTATTAGCCTAATAGGTGAAAAAGTGATTATATTCAGAAGTTTATCATGGCAAGGATGGTCATATTTTTATATTTGTTTTTGACCATATTTCTTCGTGAGTTTTCCTTTTCCTCCGTTGCCCATTTTTCTACTTAATGATTTGTCTTTTTTATCTCATGGATTTGTTAGGAGTTTTCTTATTAATAGAGCTTTACCTTTTATGTTTATTACCAGTGTTTTCTCCCAGTTAACCACTTTAATTTTACCTATAGTGTTTTGTTTTATAGTTGCTTTATATTTGTATACAGTAAGATTGATGATTATTTAATGACTTATTTCATTAAAGCAAAATAGATATAAAGCAAATTCTCTATTTTCTAAAACATGTATATTTTCATGTGTTTACATATGCTCATTTCACATTTATCATGTGTCTTGTCTTAAATGTGTGTCTGTGTGAGTGGATAATGTCTAGATTTTTATCTAGAATGAATTTTTGTGAAGAGTAAAAGGTATAGAGTTGCCTTATTCAAATGTCTGTTGAAAACCATTGAAGAGCCCATTTTTTATGTCTGATTTGAAATGCTCCTTCATTATGTCCTAAATTTTTTCATTGAGCGTTTTGATATTTCTAATAAACAATATACTGCTTTGATTATGTAATAGCTTAATATGTTTTCAGATTTAGGATAAAGCCTTCCTAATGTTTCACAGAAATTTCATAGTTACTGGTGACCATATCTTCTTGAAGTTTTGATTTGGGTTGCACTAAATTATAGAATTCATTTGGAGAGAAGGAGATAACCCAAATCCTAGCATCCTCAAGTCCTACAGAGTGAAAAGTCCCCACCCACTCCCAGGTTTTTGAGGGTTTTGCATCTTTGGCATACTGTACTTTTTGATCTGCATCTGATCAGAAAAGTCTTTAAGTGGACGTGGACCTGCACAATTCAAACCCATGTCCAGGTGTCATCTGTATTTCTCTTCAAGATGTCTTCATTGAGCCAACGCTTATGGGTAAGCTTCTCTTGGTTTCTTAAGTTTTTTAAATATACTCGTATACTTTTTTTTTCTTTAGAGACAGAGTCTCACTTTGTTGCCCTCAGTAGAATGCTGTGGCATCACAGCTCACAACCTCCAGCTCTTGGGCTTAGGCCATTCTCTTGACCCAGCCTCCCGAGTAGCTGGGACTACATGGCACCCATATGGGACCACATTGCCGGGCTATTTTTTTGTTGCAGTTTGGCCAGGGCCAGGTTTGAACCCACCACCCTAGGTATTTGGGGCTCGTACCCTACTCACTGAGCCACCCTATTCATATACTTTTTAATAAATTTGCTGCTGGGTATTTTATTTTTGTTGATGTAGTGAAATTTATTTTTCTAATACATTTTAAAATTGGTTATTGCTGCTTCTGGTAAAGACAATTTGATTTTTATGTTATGATGTATGATGATAGCGCAAAATTCTTTTTTTTCAGCTTTTTTGGCCAGGGCCAGGTTTGAACCCACTACCTCTGGAATATGGGGCCAGTGCCCTACTCCTTTGAGCCACAGGTGCCGCCCAACAGTGCAAAATTCTTAAGTTTGTAAACATACTCTTACTAGAAAATTTAAGAGAATTTCATCTTCTGCAATTGATGAAAATTTATTTTCTATCCAACATTCATACTTGATCTTAGTTGTATTTGCTTTAGCTACGATCTGGCACAAAATGAACAGTGCTTAGCCCAACTTTTTGTCTTGCTATATCAGTGGAAATGCTCTTAGTAGACTACCATTAAGCTTGTGTGCTCTGTAGACTACCATTAAGCTTGTGTGCTCTGAGTTTCTTATAGATACCAATGGTTAAATTCTATTTTATCGTGTGATTTTTTTTTTTAGCTTATATTGAAATATCAAAATCTAGTTGGTATAATTTAATGAATTTTAATTAAAGATTGCTAATATTATATTTCATTCTTGGGCTAGGATTGTTCCTAAGAAAGATAAAATTGGTCCATTTGTCTATTTTGTGATATGATCCTTCATTTTTTTCTTAAATGTGCCCATGCAAAGGGAAAAAAACCATCTTTCCCAGAGTTTGTTATGTATTTTTTTCTATGCAATTTCTGCTGTGGTTACTTAACTAATGGAATTTTCTGTCTCTTCTCAAATCCATATTGTTAAAATATGTTTTCTTTACTAAACGCGTTTAATCTGGATTTTCAAACATTTTAGTGTAAGTTATATGTAGGCCTTATGGCTTTTTATTAATTGCTTGGTCTGCAAAGTCCAGAAATAAAATTGACTTTGCCTACTGCTAGATCTACAGGTTCCTTGGTCAGTTTCTCCATTTAATTTTTTTCTTTTTCTTGTTTTGTTTTGTTTTGTTTTTTAAGACAAAGTCTCAAGTTGTTGCCCTGGGTAGAGTGCTTGTGGCATCATAGCTCACAGCAACCTCCAACTTGGGCTCAAGCGATCCTCTTGCCACAGTTTTTCTATTTTTTAGTATAAATGGGATCTCACTTTTTGCTAAGGTTGGTCTTGAACTTGTGAGCTCAAGCTATCCACCCACCTCGGCCTCCCAGAGTGCTAGGATTACAGGTGTAAGCCACCACTCCTGAACTCTTCATTTTCTTTTTTTTTTGCCTTTTTCAATATTGGCTAACTGCTCAAGTGTAAGCTTCTCATGTACTGATCCAGCAGGTATTTTTTGAGGACCTACCATGTACGAGAATCTGATTAGTTCTACCTGAGGCCGTCTAGCTGCCAATAGTTCACATGTTCCTCTTTAAGCAAATAGAAAGAGATAGTCTTTTGACGGGTTCTGAAATAGAATCTCAATGAATGAGCCTGTTTAAACACTGAGCCAGTCACTATGGCCAGAGGGATTAATTTGAGATTTGGATCACATGTTGAGCCCTGAAAAGGGAATTGAGACAAGCCTACCGAGAACCACATGGATTGAGAAAGGATAGTAGGGGCCCCAGGAAACAGGGTGATTAGGTGATGGGGAGACAGGCAGAAGCACCAGCCTACTGCATCTCTATCTACTACTTTCTGGAGAA